TGAACCTTTAAAATATATTATTTAAAGCTCTGCACATTAGGGACATTCTTTTATTAATTTATCTTGGTTACTTCACACATATATTAAGAATCCCATAGCAGATTCATAATACCTGTTTATGCGATTTCAATAATGCTGCATTCAATATTCTTTCAAAAACTAAAAACACAATTACTCAGTCAGATTTTAATTCCTTTTTAACGAAAGAAATTTACAAATTTTTTGTGCACTTTATCAAGAATTCATTATGCATTTAAATAAACATACAATTTTGCTCTTGTGAAATATGTTCACATATTACGAAAAAATGCAGATAAATACGCATATTACTGATCAAAGAGCTTATATGGGACTCGAGACAGCACTTAGTCGTGAAATTCTCTTACAAACTTCCACACCAGTCACTTTATACCCAACAAAAATGTATGGCTGTAGCTTCAATTCAGATCGAGTCACGAGTCAACTATGAATGTCAATTTTAAATGTCACTAATGTTCAATCGAAGAATAAATGTTCTAGTAAGCAATGATTGTTCAAACTTTCTTCTGCTTGCTATTTTTTAAAAAAGAAATAAAAAAGTGAATTTGTCTTTCAATAAATATATTTATAACTTAAGTTATGATTTCAACATTCGCTTCAGAGGTGTTATATAGACTTTTTATTAATAATAAATACAAGTGATATTTAAATCAGTTGTACTATAAAAAGAGATGAAATTGTATTTACAGAATATTTTTTGTTGGGCATTCAGTTTTCATTGAATGATGCAGGTACCCTGTTTTTCGGTGTGGAGAAAACATACTTTTGGATTAAAAAACGAAATTTCGTACGTCGAATACTCATACATATGTATACATTTTCTCAAAAGAATTATATAAATACTAGGCGGTATATATTGGATAAAAAAAATGCACTAATTTTCTTAAGCACTATTTTTCTGTAGGCGATTTATAGTGTTTTTGTATGACGGGGAATCTCGAATTCAGTGCACGATTGAAATATTTTTCGTTTCGTTTCAATGCATCAAAGAATAACTTACATTTCGCAGACGTTCAAAAAAAGGGAAAAGCCCGGCAGACTAACCACTGAATAGTAAATAGAAACTAGAAACGAGAAGGACAGAAAATAACAACAAAAAACATCCGAAATCGAAATGTTAACATGAAACTGTGAACAGAATAACATAGAGATCAAATAATAAATGTGAAAGAAAAACACCGTTGTTCAAGTTATCGTTTTTTCGCTTACTGCCTGTCTCAATCTCGAATGCAAAGTACTGGTTTGCGTTACAGAAAGTTTCTTATTTGCTGGTAATGGAGCTATTTTGTGTGTATGCTCCATTCCAATAAAAAATGTAAACTATAAGTTGAATTGTGATCAAATCGTTGAAATAAACAGCAATAATGGCACCGACAGCCAATGCCGAAAATAAAAACAAATGGCATCAAAACAAACAAAAAAAAACGATTTATAAAGTTCATTGAATGAATGTCTTAACATTTCGAAAGACTCTGAGCTTTGAAAGATTTACGCATATTGTTTCGAGAATCGAGCGAAAGAACGGATTCATCATTAATCACGGACGGTGGATAGCAGTTCACGTGAGTGACGAAATTGCCTTGATGTGGTGAAAAGTCGACTCGCTGTACATACACGAAATATCCAAAATCCAATTCCAAAAGGCTTTTGCTCTGATTGATGTATGGTTGAAAAGTCCTCAGGCCATCTCATCTTTTTGAATTTTTCTGGGATTAAGGCCTTATCCGCACACGTAACGTTTTTTTTAGAAATTTTTACTGAAAAAGTGTAACGCTTTTTTCATTTAAATTTACCGTAAACTTTTCATTTTATTTTCTAAAAAATTTCCCATAAAATCTACAATTAAACTTGAGTAAATGTATTTGGCAACAATTTAAGTGTAAACATTGGAAATATTTTCAAACGAAAAATGCATATGTGGGACCACTTATGGCAACATGTAAACAATGTAATGATAAGGATTTTTTTTCGGTAATATGAAGGGAAATTTTTTTGACATATTTGCTGAAAATTTATAGTCAATTTAATGGAATTTTCTTCGGTAATATAAAGGGACATTTTTTAGTTATATTTATAGGAAAAACCATAGAAATTTTGGCAGAAATTACATTTTCGTTGTTTTTACTTTACAATTTTAGTAAAAAAAAACCAAAATCGTTTCAGTAAAAATTATCATCCATATGCTGATAGGGAATTTCTAAAAAATTTCCCTTCATATTACCGAAAAAAAATTCCATAAAATTTACTATTAAATTTGAGTAAATATTTCTGAAAAAAATCGGTTTATTTTATGGAATTTTTTTCGGTAATATGAAGGGAAATTTTTTTGATATATTTACTGAAAATGTATAGTCAATTTTATGGATTTATTTTTAAGTAAATGTATGAGTGGTGTGAGTGAGATTCAGCTCAGTGAGAACTCGACCTCGAAAATCCCTAGGAAAATCGAATATTTTCTCATATTTGCAAATATTTAAATTCTAGAGGGGGTCAACGGACGCTAGGGGAGGGTCAATGCGACCTATGCGAACTATGTCAGAGCCAATGTCTCTATGCCAATATGATCAAGTGATTTATGAACAAAAATTAATTTAAAATGTCATTTACGTCAAGCTTGCTGCTAGAAAATTGGCGTCACTCATGGAAATCATCAAAAAAATTCACTCATGGAAAAACAATTTACTACTAAAATTAGTACATAAATTTACTTGCTCTATTTTTGTTGAAAGTTCACTCCCCTTGGGGCTCGAAAAATTCTTTCGATTTGTTTGTGTTTTTGAGGAGCGGAATTTACTTTGAATTTCCTAAAGTTTTTGCTGAGAATATTTTTTTGAAATTGCATGATTTTTTGATAAAGAATTTTTTGAAATAATCTTTATATTGGTATCATATTAATTAATTTATTAAAAATATATTTAATTTATTTTTAGTAATATAATTCACTTTTATTAATTAATATTTTCATTCGATGGGAACTAGTATCGTATATTCTCCATACAAATTAATTTTATCGATTCTACGAATACGACATCTGTTAAAAAAGATACCGATTTTTGTTACTACTGTTGCTTTGACACAGCTCGAGCGAACTATACGGCTATGGCTGTATTACAGACGAACTAATACAAAAGAACACACAGACTCCGATCCTGTGTATGCGTATGTATTGTAAATTTTGCACAAGCAGCTACGATTGAAGACTGAGTGCAGAATTTGTAATACATACGCATACACAGAATTGGAGTCAGTGTGTTCATTTGTACGTTTACACGAGATGTATTAAAACACCACTAGTAACAGAAATCGACGAGTTTTTTAGTAGATGTCGTATTGGTGGAATCGATAAAGAAAAATCGACGATATTAGCGCTCATTGTTTTCATTTATAATATTTGTGTATAAATTTTAAGATTTAGTCAAATTTTTATGTTATGTGCCACTTATTATTTCTCATAATAGGATCCTATGATAATGCGTTTGCCCTCTTTGCTTTCCTCTTTGTATTTGAGAATAAGCTTGTACTCCAACATAGACACTCGCAACCCATGGATTGAGAAAACAAATTCAAAAGAATCAAAATCAAAAGGTTTGAGACTTGAGAATGTGACACTCATTTTGAAAAGGAATTTAAATGCCAATTTATGATTCACATAAACTTCAAACCCACATAAAATGAAAAACTTACCCGGTTTTTTATTTTATTTTTTAATGATAGCCAGCGATATTTCAAATATTCCGACCAATATTGATCAACATATTTCATACAAAAGCAAATGGAAAACTGAGTAAACTTATGAAATATTGAAACCACTTAATTTCTGCACTTCATTTTCGGATATAAGTCCACTGAAAAAACATTTCACTTGGTTTAATGTCAATATATTCTCTTCACCAAATAAATATAAATTAATTACAGAAAAATTTGAATACATTTAAACAGGACACCAAATTCAAATAATTGGTAAAAACAGAATGATGGCAACAACAACAACAACAACAGACAGTAAAAAAGTATACGTGATAAATGATATTGATAAATCCTTTCTATATTTGGTAATATTCCGGTTTTGCGTAGTGAATTTTAAACGAAAGACATCTAAGTATTCACAATTATATACTTTTGAAGAAAATAGTTTTTATTTTTTCTCACTTTATCGTTGCCTTTTTTGTCGTCTATAGGCCAACAGCAGTTTATCCGACAAGAAAATAGCTACATATATATGTTTTTTTTTGTTTGTTGTATCTGTTGTTGATTTCTTATTTGGAGTCTTTTACTCTTAGCTTCACGAATTGGTTGTCGTAGCGGTTTGTTGACTGGATTACAAATATGTATGTGTTTATCTATGTTTTCGTTTTATGTTCGTATTATTGTCACCTTATTATTGAATACAAGATCTACAACAGGTAATTGCCGTTCGTTGCTTTCAGTCCACAATGGTTTAGATGATCGTCACATATTTATGTGTGTGTATGTGCATTGTGCATGTATGCTGTGCTGGTTTTAACAACAATCAAAATCTTTAAGAAAACGTTAAAATAAAGCTATTTGATCTATGATATGATACGTTGAATTAATTATTTTTTTTCGATATTTTTTCATTGCTTTTAAAAAATCAGGATTTAAAAAAAAAATCAGAAGACTCGGTCAACATTAAGATATTCTAGTCCAGCTAAAGATTTATTTACCTTTCATTTCATTACTGACGCCAACTTCATGTACATTGAAAATAAGAACTTAACTTAATTTCTAAATAGAACAATTCATTCAAAGTCCAAAACAAATACAATCGGTTTGTATTTCTTTTTATAAGATCGCATTTTAATACTATCATATGAACTTTGTGATAACCTTTTTTATAACTAGAAAATTAATAAAATTTCAAATACAAAACAGATAATTTAAAAATAATAATAATAATGTTGTAATTGATTTGAGATTATAAAGATCACAATGAAGTTGTCTCATGGTCCCATTATGATATACTGAAAATGTATAATCAAAGAAATGTTAAAATCATAAAATTGATCATTTTAATTTTTTACCTACCTTCAGGAAAGCGTCATAGATTGTTGAAAAAAAATTATACGGTGTGTAATGTTCCATGAATTAAACGAAATTTGAATTTGATAACAAAACATTGTAAAAAAGAAAAAAAAATATTATTGATGAAAAACTATTTATTCGTTAATTTTCGTTTAATATAAATGAACATTATACGTTTATTTGCAGGGAAAAGTCAAATTGCTCATCGTTAACTGTTAAGCGTTGTTTTTCGCTGTATTGATCACATCTTTTCGTTAAACAATCAGAAACCATTTTTGTTAAATTTGGAAGACTTATTATTTTTTCGGTCGAATATTTTTTAGCTTTTGAATCACTCTTATTTTCAATCAATATTTCATTGGAAGTATCACCACTTCGAACGAGCGTTTCTTCGTTATCCTCTGAATGATAATTTGATTTATATTGAACATGATGACTGCTATAATTATTCCATCTGTTTGCGCTTAAATATTTCCATGTAATTGTCGTTAATATTAATAGGATACTTAACGATAATAACGCAAATATCCACGTTAAATCTCTGAGTGAATTTTGTTTTTTGGCTGGTATAAGCATTGCTCTCAAAGTTGCATCAGTTGATGTTGAAGTTATTACAAGAATTGAAGAGCTTGGTGTGTATAATATGGTTTGGTCAATTTTTGTTTTTGGCAATTGCTTGTGTTTTTGAAAATTAATCGATTTTGAAATGTGTGTATTTTTTGGATTTGATATTAAAGGAATGCTAGTTGATTGTGTTACAATGGAACCTCTGTTAGGGGAGAATGTCGTTGTTACGATTATTTTTTGTGTAGTCACAGTTGTAACCATTTTAGTGCTTGTAATATTCGATGTTCTCAATGAGGCATTTTCTGGATTTGTTGTCTTGGTATTTGGTGTTGAGCTTGTATCTTTGACTAAACGCGTGTGAATATCTGGGAGCGTTGCCTCCACATCTCTGGAAGTTGAGATAGATCGTGGCGTTGTCGCTTCCGTTATACTCACTTCCGTTGTATTAATTTCGTCCATAGTTGCTATGGTCAAATCTAAATGATTATCAGTGATTATTGACGTATTATATTTTAGAACAACAATATATAATATATTTTGCCAATTCACTGTCTATTTAAATAAATTAATGTAATCACTCGATAGCAAACACTTAACATATAACATACTTACCTTCAACACATTTTGTGATAAAATCAAAACAGCAAGTATTGAGTATAATGCACTCTTGGTGACAGTCACATTTTTCAATGAGGTGGCCATTTCTGTAAAATGTTCCATTAGTATTTTCTCGAACAGATCCTGTTTCCATACAACGATTCTCACAAGATTGTATATCAAAGATTTCATCAGTTTCCGTAGTCGCTTCTGACTGTATATTATTCAAGCAATCACTGTCTTTCATTAAAGCCACATCATCTATTGGATGAGAGTGCAAATAAATATAAAAATTCTCCATTTGTCACAATCTATCTATTAAACGTCATTTGTTAACCTATGGCAATATCGCTGATGACACCTTTGCTCCCAGTTACTTCAATCATGATCTGAAAGTCAGCGTTAGTCGGCTCGACTGGTATATCTCCTACAATCCATTGATTTCCTTGTGAACCTTCTTTTTCGAAAAAAATGTACCTATGTTGGAGTAAGAAAAGTAGAAAATTAATTCATTTTGTATAATTTGTTTGGTAATGATATTGATAAGATTATATTACTTTTGATTATCCACTACTTTGTCCATTTTATCTACTACAGATTTAATAATGATTCGAAGTCGGCCAACATTTTGTCCATACATATAATAAAAGAAGCGAAAACACGCATTTTCTGAGTCGCTCTGATTATAAACTGGTGAGAAGAGTCTAGATCTTTGTGATGGATGGGAATTAGTTGCTTCGGCTATTAAATAATGACCTTCCAAAGGTTTGCCTTTCTACAAAAAATAACAATAAAACTGTTAGAAAAGAGAAACAGTAATACATGTTTTATAAAATACTTGAAACTCAAAAACACACCGTATGATCATGCTTAGGCCCACTCTCAAGTTTTTCGTACGAATTCCATCCATTTCGTTGCATCCAATGAAAGTCATTTTCTGTATCTTCTTTCCATCCGCATAGTGAAACTGTTTCAAAATCACATGATTTCGTGTGGCCAACATCTAAACGACTATGTATTACACTCAGATTAAAATAAAAATGAATAAAAATGAAAGGATGTTTATCACGGAGGATGGCAGCCCCCAAATGACGCAATACCCTTATACATATGAAATATGTATATTTTGCGTCACTCTATATATACGTTAAAGACATGAAAATCTAAACCGCTTACTTTTGGAAAGGGTTTTTTGCATATCTTAGTAGTGCTCGGGCACCAAATTAAGAATCCGCAAAAAAATTACAAAAATTCAAATTTTGGCCGCCAGGTGGTACAGTTGGGCATTTTCGGTATCTTATTATTCATCTTATTATCTTATCATTCTAATAAGATCAAACTATATTATTACTTATTATTTTTTTGCACTAATAAGTATAGTAATAAGTATAGTTATTAGAATGTTACTAGTCAGAAGACTAATAAGATGCATGTATTTTATTAGTATAGTTATTAGTATAGTTTCTCATCAGTATATTTCGATTGGTGTTACTAGAAGCAAATACTACTGAAACACGAAAAACAGCAGAAAGGCAGTCAAAATCACAAAAAAACTCCCGATCGATTTTTCTCGCATTTCTGATGGGAAATCGGCAAAAATAAGCAAATTTGTGTTCACTAACTGAACACCATACAGCCAACTACTTTTTGGCCTAAAATCAAAATCCGGTGGAATTTGGCTGATTGGTGGACTTTCAGGATTTGGCCTGGTTTCTAGAACTTCCAAAATGTAATTCCATAATATATGTATTATTCGAGTAATTTTATACAGGAATTATATTTTGGAAGTTCTGGAAACCAGGCCAAATCCTGAAAGTCCACCAATCAGCCAAATTCCACC